GTGCAATAAATTTTGGTTGAAAAAATGAGAATCGTGTAAGAGAATCGTGATCTCAATTCCCATGGAGAAAAATCGTGATTCACATTTTAGCAAGAATCGTGCAGCCCTAGGTCACAGTACTGCTGGAGGTGCAAGAGGTGGTTGAGAAAGAGTTGTTAACCTAATTATCAGAAAAATATTGGCATAACTGGCCTTCACTGTGTGTGGAGGATTGTTATAGGCATCTTTCTTTTTTCAGTGCCTGTGATGGTCATATAACAAATGTAGGCCTACACTCACGGCGTGTTTACTTGTGCTTAACTGTCGAAATATTTACTTATAACATGGTTATATAATAGTTCAGATACATTTTAAGTCTAGGGATTTGTTTGGTCAGGCTAATATAGTTTAGTTAGTAGGCTACAATATTAAAACTACAGGCCTTGCGTCATTTTTTACACATTACGTCCTGTTCGCGTTTGATGGCAGGTGAGCAGGTGTTAACGCTGGGTTATTTTATTAGTAGACTGTGTAAACGTGTAATAAACAGATCCTGAATTCCCTCACATCATGTACCACGAGCGCGTGTTCGGAGTGCCATGCCACGTCCTTGTTTCTCAGCAGCAGTAGGAGGGCTTTCTTTAGGGCAGGTATCTATTACCTGTGTCACGTGGGCGGTGGCCAGGTAGGGCGCACACAAAACCAGCGCGATCCAAGCAGCCATTGCGGAGCAGAGCCAAGAGTTTCGGACTTGTTTGCATCGATTCTCACGCAATTAAAAGGCCACGGGACACATCGAGGCGAGTCCGAACCCGGCACTGATCTGTCCGTAGGTGTGGGGTCACTGAGCTCTTGGCTTCTCTGTCACCTGGAGTTGATCTCTAGGGTTTTACTTTTGCAATCGGGGTGGTGTGACAATAGTATTTTTTTCCCTTCTTAAAAATGACGGTTAATCCAGATTATCTGGTGCTTTTATTCACCACCACATCTGGCGCAAGTGGGGACCAATTGGGATCAGATGAGAAGGAAATTGTACAGTTGGTTTGGCAGGTTGTGGATTTAGCGACTAAAAAGGTAATTTCATATTTCCCCATGATGGTGTGAATGCGTGTTATGCATTGGTGTGTGTGCGTGCGTGCGTTGGTGTGTGTGTAGTAATTCTGGTGGAGGTTAGAGAGAGTAAGTTTTTCATTAATATGTCATATATTTTTAAAAAGAAATATTACGAAGTAAAAGGACAAATATTAAAATTTATTTATTTATTCATTTATTCACTTTCATCTATCTATCTGTCTGTCTGTCTGTATGTGTGTGTGTGTGTGTGTACAGTATCATTTATATAAGGCAGATATTTAAACAAAAAGTGCAAAGTCAAATCTAAGGCTCTATCAATCTAAATCCAAATCTATTCCCCTGCTATTTATCAACTCATCCATCCATTTATTTATTTATTTGCCTATGTAAATCTATATGTTGGAAGTGAGCATTCCTCTGCTTTCCACATTTAGGCTGGTCAGGTAAATGAATTGCTAGTCAAACCGGATCACATTGAGCTCTCTGAGGAGTGTCAGGAGGTGAGTGGACTCACCGAGGAGACCTTGACAGAAGCTGAACTGCTTGAGGAGGCCATCGAACAGGTGATCATTCTCATACAATCTGTTCTGACAGGCTGGTATTTATCTTTTTTAGAACGTTCCGTTCAAAATACATAAAGATATTTGCATTTGAGAGTGGATCCTTTCAAAGGACAGTTAAACTTTCTTTTCTAACTCTCTTTGAGGGAGGGTCTGCATATACACCATTTAGTGGCATATCTTTACACACTATTACATGCATTATTTAACAGCTTGTGGATTGATATTTGCACAAGCAGCCTTGTGGGTATGTATTAAATGGCACATAAAAGTGGCGTTTACTCAGAGTGTCCATGTGTGTGCAGTTGAATCAGAGGTTATGTGCAGAAGTGGACGCAGGTGCAGGAATCACCTTCTACCTCTGTACGGATGGACAGCTGCACATTCGTCAAGTCCTCCATCCCGAGGCTTCCAGCAAGGTATCAAACTCTAAATACTGCAACTGAGCAGGCGATATTTATTTATAAGCTAATAATTTATAGGTGCAGATGTGTTTTCTTGACTGCTTGCTTTTGTGCTTTTCAGAATGTTTTGTTGCCTGAGTGTTTCTTCTCATTCTTTGACCTGCGAAAAGAGTTCAAGAATAAATTCCCATCAGAAGGGGAGTTGAAAGACTTGAATCTTCAGGTCATGGCTGACTGTATCCTTAAAAAAGGTCATGATATCATTTTGTGTGTTTTTTGTAAGACTTAAATGGATGAGAGTAGATTATTACACATATTAGTTGATAATTCTCTGACAACCAGTGTGAGGAAGTTGCATTTGAGTGTGTATGAGAGAGAAAGATAGGCAACAGGGTGTTGGCTGCAGGATCCCAAGGTTTTGGAATGCAAATAGACTCACAATAGTGTGGGCTCAATTGAGCCAGCAAGAGAAAGCCAAGAGTGTTTAGCCAACAAGCTTAACCTGCCACACCTACGCTGTAACGTCTTAATACACACACACACACAGAGTCAAACACACAATGCAATAGCACAGCCCTCTGCACAGTAAGAAAGGTTAATCGAAAGTCATTCTCTCCCTCCATGTTTCTATTGTGCCTTTATGGAAGACTGCTGTGTTTCAACGGTCCTTGTGCGTTTATAAACCCTGTCCTAGTTGTTCCTTGCATCTTTACTGTGTCATTAAATGGTAATTATCACCAGTAACACTAAACACAGACGCTGTATTCCTTGACTGCGGTTGCGATCAGACCTAAATGTGGTTGTAGATTCTTCTCTTCATGCTTTCACTGCTCACAAGGTTCAGCAGATGTCAGAAATTGTTTTAGCACTTATCTCAGAGCCTGTCTGTAAGTCATTATAACTTGCATATTATTGTCTGAACACATGAATGTAATATTCAGAAGTGTTTTTGTTATGAACCTGCTTTATTCGTCTTCATAGGCCACCAGTTCTCCTTCCCAGAAAAAGTGAATGACAAGTTTGAGACTGGCACTTGGTAAGAGCTGTTTCTTATTTAAACTAAACTAACAAACAAATGTCTGCAACTGTGTTCTAATTATTATTTTTTGTTAAGCTCCACCTTAATATATAAAATAAATATATAAATTAATAAAATCACAGAAAAGTCATGGGATTTTCTATAATGAATATACATTTTTATAGTTACTCATTAAAATTTTTAAATTACTGTTTGTGAGTCTAATTTCTATCAAATTAATCATAAATTACTATAAAATGGAAATTGAAGATGTTGTGTGTTAAGTTTAAATGTTTACATGAAATTTTATGTTGCTGGAACACATAATAGTGATGGCTATAATTTGGAGAGGATATAAGTATTATTGAGTATTTTAATATAAAGTTTTTTTTTCTTTTTCCTAATATTTTAATAAACCCTGAGAAGTTCATGCTGTGAATTAAATTCTTATTCACTAATGAACATGTAATAACTATTACTGGTAAACGAATGTTACGGTAGTTTTATTTATCTGTTGAGATATTGAAGTTTTTATTTTTATTTAGAAGTATTTATTTAAAGAAAAACATCGGATAAAATGCTGTACAATGTCAAACATAATTCTAGCCAGAGCAGATTTACTGGAAATCATGCAGGTCACCGAAATCTCTTGTTGAATCCTATGAGAATTTCTGTAAAGCTTAAAGTTGTAGTAACCTAAGGAGTAGAGCTTTAACAAAGGGTCACTTGATATAAATTTTTGCCTTGCTACTAGTATAAGGTGGTGTGACACATTGTTTAAATTGCATGTATGTGTGTGTAGCAGTAAGATGGAAAGGGTGGATGATAACACAGTGATCAGAGCTCGGGGTCTTCCATGGCAGTCCTCAGACCAGGACATCGCCCGGTTCTTCAGGGGTCTCAACATCGCCAAGTATGCACACATAACCTGCAAACCACCCATAGGCAGCACTTATTAATAAATGATTATCATTCAGTCTGTGCACAATGCCAGTGTTTCTAATGAATGACTGCATGTGTGTGTTTGTGTGTGTAGAGGAGGTGCTGCATTGTGTCTGAATGCTCAGGGCAGGAGGAACGGAGAGGCACTAGTGCGGTTTGAGAGTGAAGAGCACAGGGATTTGGCCCTGCAGAGACACAAGCATCACATGGGCACCAGATACATTGAGGTACACACACATTCATAAAGCTATTATATTAAGTATAGTGTAATACTAAGTATAGAAGTTACATTTAGTACCCAGATGAACAAAAGTCCAGTTACTATAACCTTTTTTTAATTGTAGTGGAATTCTATGTAAATTTAAAATTATTTACATTATTTTGTATTGCAGGTTTACAAGGCAACAGGTGAAGACTTTCTAAAGATTGCAGGAGGTAAAAATACTTTTTTTTTTTGCGATTGAGTTTGCATGCATGTGATATTTGGGTTTGTAGGTGGATAGGGTTGGGATCTGAGAACCGGTTCCTATTCTTATTCAGAACTGGTTCCATAATTAATTAATTAAATTCCATGAAAAATCTATTCTTATTCAGAACTGGTTCCATGAAAAAAAATGGAGCAGTGTGACCAGTGTAGATTCCCAAACTTAATTATTTGTATGAGCCACTTCTTTGAATCTAAAAATGTAATGTGCATCTAATGTATAATCATGTAACAAATGATTCTGAATCAGTTCTTTGCAGTGAATCGAAATCAGTGAGAACTGATTTACATTTATTTATCATTGAAGTCATCTCATCGTTTGGCAATGAAATCGCATTTATTTTTCCAAATATTTAAGCCTTAAAAGAACTACAGGAAGTAAAGTCACAGGAATCATTCACAAGAGTTGAGAACTCTTACTAGTTATTATATGAATGCAATTGTAATAAAACTGTATATCCTCTGATTTCCTGAGTTTGTGTTCTGTCAGGGTTATTTGCATTGGTTTGAGTATGTTTTGTGTATTTTAGCTTCACATTGAGTGGCTCATGTGTCTGACTGACAGGTACCTCTAATGAAGTGGCCAAATTTCTGTCGAGGGAGAATCAGGTTATCGTACGCATGCGTGGACTTCCATTCACCGCCACCGCAGAGCAGGTGCTGCAGTTCTTCTCCCCGGCGTGTCCTGTGACAGACGGCAGCGAAGGCATTCTGTTTGTACGTTTTCCCGATGGCAGGCCCACTGGGGACGCGTTCGTCCTGTTCTCCTGCGAGGAGCATGCTCAGAACGCACTGAAAAAACACAAGGACATCCTGGGCAAGAGGTACATAGAGCTGTTCAAGAGCACTGCGGCTGAGGTGCAACAGGTGAGTGCAGCACTTCCTATTTGATTTGAAGCCATCAGTTGTGTGGAGTGTATTATAGTTGGTTTAGACAGACTCGGCAGGGCAAGTAAAACGTGAGCTGTTTGGGTATGTAAGTGTGTGTACAGTGCATGTACTCTATCTGAATGACCCGGCTCGCTGAACAAACACTCAGCTCGGCAATCTGTAAAAGATTAGCTTTTCAAAGCTGTCATAAAATCTCTCTTCTAGTCTTCCTGTTCTGCAATGCAAAACCTTTCAAATTTCATTGTTACTAATTTTGTAGAATTACTTGGAATTCCTCTGTTAATATTTAGCTGTCGTCATATACTGTATATCAAACCAAAGCTACTCAACCATAGCAGGCGGTTGAACTCACTTTAACCTGTTTTTGAGCAGACGTCATGTGTGTTTGACTAGCTCAGCTGTGTTGTTCACCAGCAGCGGTTTTGGTATTATAAGGGTGTGTCATTTAGGCAAAGAGAATCCCATCATGCTTTATATTAATAGTTGACTGGTTGTTGGGTTCTTTAATAAACAGAATACTTACAATTGAATCATCACATCAATAATGCCAAAAGACTGAACTTATGCCTGACATAAAAGGAGACCAAGCAAACTGAATCCCTCACACAACAAACACCAACCTGTTTTACCCATGTACCTGTTACAAATTTGAACTAAACAGCTTTTTTTGTTTGCTTGTTTTTACAACCAGTAAATTTTCTTTTGTCTAATAACAGTATGTAGAACTGATTTTTAATTGTTTTATTTTTACTTTTAACATAATAAGTGCATAATCATTAGACTACAACAATGAACGTAATATGCATAATAATAAATATATTTTATTATTTTTAGTTTAGTTTAGTTTGCCTGTATTATATAAACGGCGAGTTGTTTTGCTTATCAGAGTGATTGCAGATTTATTTTCATCTTAGTTTTTGAATGCAAAATATGCATTAATTAACTTTTTTTCCTATAACGAATTATGGGAAAAATATGAATAATGGTAAAATAAAATAAAATCGGTCAAGCTAATTTTCTGTCTATCTTAACCAAAGTACAGATATATTGGACCAGTCATTAAGAAGAGTTAATTATAGAACGGGTAATTACATTAAACAATCAAATATAAAGAAAAAAAAACTAAAAAAACATCTGCTGTGGGTTTTTAATGCTAACCTTAAAGTGATGGTTTGACTTGCTCAAACAGGAAGTGCATATTCATAGACCTGATCTGGTAAAGTTCCAACAAATATAAAACCAACACAGAATGGGCAAGTTGTCTCACTCTCCATATATAAGGGCATTTAAGGATACAGACACACCAAACGTGTGTTTGCGTGGTGGCAAACAGTATCAGTACCTGCAGGTAGAGCACAGTTCATCCATCATCTCCACACCTGGAGCTATAAACAGGCAGAAGTCTTTTTGATGATGTGCATTGCCAATCATGTAACTCCAGCATTTGTGTGTCAGGTACTGAACAGATACTCATCGGCCCCACTGATTCCCGTGGCCCCATCCCCCATCCTGTCTGTTGTGCCATCCCCCACATTCGTGCCCCAAACGGCAGCAGTGACAGGTGTGCGGGACTGCGTGAGATTGAGGGGTCTGCCGTACGATGCCACCATCCAGGACATACTGGTTTTCTTGGGGGAATACACGGCTGACATCAAGCCACATGGAGTGCATATGGTGCTTAACCAGCAGGTAAGGATCTCAGACCCACTTATATACATATGAACTGTAGTATTCATATGAAGTTCATCCAGTAACAAAATAAACACACCTATGCAGTTCAGAATGTGTTCTGTCAGGGAGTTTTCCCCCTTTGGCTCAACCGCTCCATAAAAAAGGGTGATTAATCACAGCTTCTGTCAGGACTTGTGTTTCTTCATTCCTTTACAATGTGTTTCTGTCATGCCTTGGTCCTTACAATATCTCAAAGCACGCTGAAGAGAACTGTACTTGAGAATAGGATAGACCATACAAATGTTTCCATACAAAGCGTGTTTTTTTTTTAAAGTTGGCTTGCTGGCTTGTGCATTTTCAGCTAGATATAAAGAAGGAATTTAATGATTCTGATTCCTCTTAACGGTTCCATTGAAGATTCTTTTACAATACCGTTCAAACGTTTTGGTTTGATATGATTTTTTTTTGTTGTAATGTTTTGAAAGAATTCTCTTATGCTCACCAAGGCTGCATTTATTTGATCAAAAATACAGTAAAAAGAGCAATATTTTGAAATACTGTTACAATTTAAAAATGACTTTTCTATTTTAGTATATTTTGAAACATTCTTTTTTTCCCCCGTGATTGCAAAGCAATCATTCTAATATGCTGATTTGGTGCTCAAGAAACATTTATTATGATTATCAATTTCGTAAAACAGGTGTGCTGCTTAATATTTTTTTGTGGAAACTATGATACATTTTTCAGGATTTTTTTGATGAATAGGAACAGCATTTATTTAATATAGCATATGTAACAATGTAAAAGTCTTTACTGTCACTTTTTGAATACATCCTTGTTGAGTAAAATATTAATTTATGAAATAATCCAACCTTACTAAACCCAAACATTTGAATGGTAATGTAGTACTTTTTAAGGAATAAATATTTTTTGGGGAAAAGTAATTCAGAATTTAATTTATGCAAAGTGCTTTTTACACAGTTTCTTTTTATGCAATCCAATAATTATATTGAATTAACTAGGCCTATATATTAAACAACAACACTGAACAAACACTAACAACAACATTCAATTTATTTATTTTTATAAAACGTTTAACTACACATTGTCATATGATCAACTAGTCAGGAACTACACTGATTGTAGTTTTATAGCTGTATGTATTTCTGTTGTTTTATCAAAATAAACATTGTTCATTCACGTATTGAACTGTAGAACAATTGGACTGTTTCGCACAGTATGCTTTTGATTTAAAGAACCCATAAGACTCATTTGTTTGGGGAGTTGAACTATAGCAGTTGCACCGTTTTTGATTCATTAAAAAGAACTGGCTCATAAGAGTCTGTAATTGTTCCGAAATTAAACTACGTAGTTTACAGTATCTGTTTGCTGCTGTCCGATTTAAAATAAGAATAATTAAAAGATTCTCATTATGGATAAGAATCAGTTTTCTGTTCCCAACCCTACTGTTAACTTGACATGGCATTTTAAAAACCAAATGCTCCTGGCAGAAAAAAATTTGAAGCGGAAACACATCCTGCTCTCTTGTTAAATGTGCTTATTAGTTTTTTTTGTTTAAAGTGAGTTTATGAATTCAGCATTTGTTTGTGTGTTTGATCAGGGTCGTCCGTCGGGTGATGCTTTTATCCAGATGCGTTCAGCTGAACGGGCGTTCCTGGCGGCCCAGCACTGCCACAAACACAGCATGAAGGAGCGTTACGTGGAGGTGTTTGCGTGCTCCGCTCAGGAGATGAACATCGTGCTAATGGGGGGGACGCTCAACAGGAGCGGCCTCTCGCCGCCGCCATGTAAGTTACGACGTAAGTGCCGCTGGGCTCTGGTGCTGCTTCTCTCAGCTGTGTGTGCGGGTAGGTGGCGCTTCACGCCTTCCTGTTTTTTCCCCTTTCTCTCACTCATTCACTTATTCATTCATGGTGGGTGTCCTGTGCCCAGGCAGGAATGGGCATCAGGAGCAGTAGGAATCTGGGTGGGTGAATGTTGTTGTTTTTTTATTCAATTCAGATCTGAGTTTGTCAGATGCTTTTCCACAGCGGGGGAATGGAGGGCTTTTATTTGGGGTGATTTAGTGCAATCTTTCTAAATCTAAATGTGCACAATTTTAATCCTTAATCAAAAATGTCACCATATGCACTTTGGTGTGTCGTGGAAAGGCACTTTCTGTTTGATTTAGTGTAGATTTCTTTCTTTCTTCGGTTGTAGATTGTAACTTTGCTGTCCTAACAACCAACAGCGGCACATGTAAAAGCCTCGGCATGCCACAGGTTCAGTCCGGTTAAAGGCATCTGAATGCCTGTGGCTGTGAATTGATACGTGTTGAAGGGTGGAGGAGCATACTTGACTTGTAGCTGAATTATAATGGCAGTTATTGACAGCTTTGGGTTATGGTCTGCTGCATGCTTTGAGTGTGTGATAAAGTTTGGGATAGATATTTTAATAGAAATACATTTATTCTCCTAAACTGGTATTTCTTCAATACAGTGAACAAGACATTTTGACAGATTTAATATAACGCGACACATAACATTCACATGATAGATGAGATTTGTAATTGTACCTGCAGTGTTAACTATGAGACATGCTCAAATTGGCTGCAAGACAACTCATATGCAGGTTCACAATGTGACAGGTTGTATTTAGGGTGGGCTTTTGAGATGGCTACTGCTTGTGGCTACACCACCGTATATTGTTCATTGTTTGTTTGATGGGATGACTGCATGAGCCTCTGATGACAAACAATGAACAGGACTTGAAAGGGGTTTAAAGGTGTAAAGCCCTCATTGTAACTGGATTAGGTTCAGTCAGGACCACACCCTTTTATTATTTGGCAAAAATACCTTGACTAATCGCTAGTTTTTATTTTATTAGTAATTATGTAAATTCAATATTTCATCATGTCAATATTCTCACTAAAATGGTATACACAAAGTTTTGTCAACAATTTTGTGCCATCTTAGTGAGAATAAAATGAATTAAAATAATATAAAAATTATGACATTATGCATTTAAAAAAATATATAGCCTATATTATTTTAGTTCTTTTTATTCTCACTAAAATAGCATTAAGCTGTGGTTCTCAACCTTTTTTTGACCCTGCTGTATAACACAATATTTGAAAGCCCACCCCCTGCTCCATACAGGACACAATATTTCCAGTATTTCTGCTGTAATTATGACAAAGCTTGTTTTTAAACTTTTTTAGTTAACAGAAACTGAGTGTATTAATATATTACATTTACATTAACCTTAAATTAACTTCACTTTTTTTAATCTTAAAGGGATGGTTCACCCAAAAATGAAAATTCTGTCATTAATTTCTCAACCTCATGTTGTTTCAAACCCGTAAGACCTTCTTTCATCTTTGGAACACAAATTAGGATATTTTTGATGAAATACGAGAGCTTTCTGAGCCTCCATAGACAGCAATGTAATTGAAATGTTCCCAGGCCCAGAAACGTAGTAAGGACATCATTAAAATAGTCCATGTAACATCAGTGCTTCAACATTGCTATCTGTGGAGGGTCAAGAAAGCTCTCGGATTTCATAAAAAATATCTTGATTTGTGTTCCGAAGATGAACGAAAGTCTTACGGGTTTGGAACGACATGAGGGTGAGTAATTAATGACAGAATTTTCATTTTTTGGGAGAACTATCCCTTCAAGTCATCCTGCGGCCCCCTGGTTGAGAACCACTGGCATAAAGGTTGCATTTGAATTAGCAAATCAGTTCAGTTTATCATTGTTCAACTCTTTCAGCTCCAATGTGCCAATTCTATCAGGGTTTCCGCGGGTCTTAAAAAAAGTCTTAAAAAGTCTTAAATTTAGTTGTATCAAATTTAAGGCCTTAAAAAGTCTTAAATTGTACAAGAAAGTCTTAATTATGATTTCAAGAGGTCTTAAATTTGGGGACGGAAAGACCAGAATTGCGATATGGCTGAATGTGACGATTAAACTTCAAAAGGCTATGATTTCATTGAATAAACATGAGCGCTGCACTTGGTGCTGCACTGCTTAATGTTCTGCTGTTACCAGGGAAACAGCTATATTTCTACCAAATGCTCCACCTGCTGTCAGAGAATGAATGAGCATTTTCAATAAAACTGTTGTTTTGTTCAGAGTTCAGACCAATGCGAAAATCGACCCATGATTTTACCCTGCAAACACGCAGAGCTTTAAAGGGGTGGTTCATTGCGATTTCACTTTTTTAATGTTAGTTAGTGTGTAATGTTGCTGTTTGAGCATAAACAGTATCTGCAAAGTTACGAAGCTGAAAGTTCAATGCAAACAGAGATATCGTCTTTTAAAATTCTGGCAGTTTAATGCCTACAAAAACGGCTGGTAGGGACTACAACGAGTTACTTCCCGGGTTCGTAACATCACAAACCCAGATAAACCCCGCCCTCGGGAAAAGGCAGCAAAGGGGGCGAGGCCATGCTGCGCTGCTTTAGAGAAGAGGAAGAGAAAACTAGAGGTGCACGTAAAAATCTATTCATATATGAATCGCGATTCTGTCTTCTAACGATTCTAATGGATTCACAAGTTTCAAAATCAATGCTCTAAAGCAGCGGTTCTTAATACTGTTCCTCGCGTCCACTGCTCTGCACATGCTCTGCATCTCTCTCTCTCGCTCTAATTCTGATCATCAGCTCAGCTCTATTCCATTTATACACTTATTTTCACATAGCTAAGAGAAGCGTTATACATGGACGCAGTTGCCGTACTGTATTAAAGCTTTAATCAGGATAAAACCGTATATTAAAAGCTAACATAAGCAGTAGCATTTACAAATAACAGCATATCTAAAAGTATGAGACAACAACAAAAACATAGGCCTACCATTAAAAGCCGTGCTTGCAAAGGTTCTGCATGATCCTCTTCAATAATATCCTCTGCTTCTCAATCGGGCTCAAACTGATAAGCGATATTAACGACGCCATTAGTTAATATTAAGAGACTTACGTTTTAGACACCATATTTCCTGTTTTTGCTCTATTTCTCCAACAAAAATAATTTCAAACAGAGCCACAGCGCTGTTTTGCGTCTCTGAACAACATGACAGTGTTTCGTTCCTGAATGAATCAACCATTAAAATGATTCAGTTCAATCGCAATGGCTCACTTAACAGTGACTTGCTGCCACCTACTGGCAGTTTTCATTTCACATTTAAGGTACCCTTTCATTTTTTAAATAATTTCAAACATCAGTTTTTAATGTTTTATGTTTAAAATATCAAAACATTATTTATGCATTTGTAACTGCAGGTTAAAGTATTCCATGTCCCTCAGAGCTTCATTAAACAGTGTGTAAATGCATCTAAATGCCACTTCTAATGCAGCTTCTGTGTTTCCTCTGCATTGCAAAGATACATTTTGTTGATACTGATTTAATTTATTGATAATAATTGTTTAAATTAATATAATAATTAATACTTTTGACTCATCTATTTTCTTAAAAATGGTTTAAAGGCTGAAATGTAAAGTTTATCATTTTATAAAACTTTTTGTTTTTGTGAAAACTTGTATCTAAACTGTAAGTTATGCTTTTTACAGTAATTTTACAGGTCTTAAAATGGTCTTAAAGAGGTCCTATTATGCTCTTTTACAAAGTCTTGATTTTGTTTTGGGAGTGTACTAGAACAGGCTCTCATACTAGGTTGTTCAAAAAACACATTATTTTTCACATATTTTACATTATTACAACACCTCTCTCCCCAGTCTGGCATGAACGGCTCGAATAGTTCCTGTATCAAATGAAGGCCCGCCTTCTGAAATACGAAATGTGCTGTGATTGGTTAGCTGGGCCAGTGTGTGTTGTGATTGGCAGCACTCGGCGCCTGGTCGGGAAATGTCATGCCCCTTACCATAGCTGCCTGCGAGCTTCAGTGTAAATATTGTGTCAAAATCAAATCAATTTGAGCGCGAATTAAACCCGGACGATTGTAACCGCTCTAAGTTCGTCTGCCTTGGGAAAGCTAGCGCGTCTCCGACATAGTGATAACACTCGTTGCCTTCTCTGGTGCAGCTCAACCAGGTCTCGTCCCATTCGTCGATATTTGTGATATCACAAATCCCGGAAAATATGCGTTGTAGTCCAAACGAGTCGTTCATTGTAGTTTTTGAAAATATATTTCTGTTAAATAAAATATCTCCTTTTGAATTGGACTTTGAGACTTTGTAAATTTGCAGATCTGTTTTATGCTCAAACAGCAACATTACAGACTAACTAAAGTTGAAAAAGTGAAAAAGCTTAATAGGACCCCTTTAAAAAGGTCTTACATTTTAGCTTAAAAATCATGCAGAAACCCTGTCTATAGCTATATAGTTTACACACTATAGTTGGATTATTGCAACATTTTTTTTAATCTAAAAACTTTGTTAGTGCATTTAATTTCTTGCGGTGTTACTTTTTCTTATCACATTTTCATCAGCCGTATGTTTTATAAAAAAACATTTTAATTATCACCATCGTGCATTTTTTAAATCTCCATTATCAATGACAGAATAAAAAAAAAACACTTATGTCATTGACAAGATTAACACTACAATCACATCTACTTGCAATAACTGGAAGCTTCAAGGTTGTTTTTTCACTCAGTAATTCCTCAATATACCACCTCCCCCATTTCAGGTTTGTCCCCTCCATCATACGCATTTCCTCACGGGACAGCTGTTCTTCCTGCTGGAGCGGTCCTTCCTGCGGGAGCAGTGCTACCTGTGGAGCCAGCAGCTATCTACCCCTCCCAGTTCCTGTTGAGTCCCCGACCCCTGGCACCAACGACAGCCTTCTACCCTGCCAGCAACCCACTGTACATGAACTACACCACCTATTATCCCAGGTAACAGTTATGTCTGTTAATGTTGTTTTTCAGTCCAAGATAAGCCATGCACATACACATATGCAATGTAAGATCAATAGTTACCTGCAGTTTCATTCACAGAAGATGATGAATGGATGATTGAATGCCATTTAAGTTGGAGTTAATGACGTGTCTAATACTCTAGTGTACATATTAATCCAAGTCAGCATCTGTATCCAAAATTTAGGGAGATTACTGAGGAATGAAGGCATCATAGATGCATAAATGGTTCCAAGGCACTGTCTTTAATATGCCATAATGCTGTGTGTGTGAAATGATACAAATGGCATCTGAAGGAGTGGTTAAAAGGGAAAAAAGTGAATTAATGAATATCCATTGGAATTTATAATTGCAGTTCTAACAAGAAATAAGCACTGTAGTCTTTAAATATTTGCTTAGTTATATCTAAAGTTCACTTGAATTTGTTCTAGATCATTAGTTGTGATGCCTTGGAAACCTGTCTGAACCAGTTTCTTTAAGAGGAACCTTTATGTTTTGGACACAGTCAATATGTCACTTTTACATGATGTCAGAATACTCACCGGTAGCTGTCTTATGTTCACTGAGATGTTTCACAAAATGTGAATATTTACGTAACAACCCCTTTGTGTAATCTGATGTGTTTGAGGGTGTTTTGTGGGCTTTTTTTGAAGAGCTGCTCAAATGAAGCTCTAAATACATGAACATAATGACTTTGTCTCTAAGAAGGACTTGCATACCCAGGACTGGGTGTGTTTACAAGGGTAACACACTACACAGTGAGTGTGTCACACCCAGGTCGTTTAACACAGCATTAATGTGCATTTTAGCTCACTTCATAGTGGAAGAACTGGTTCAGGTACTGATTGTCTGTGTGAGATTTAAGGACAGAAATATGATTATCTAGCTTTAGGATGGCTACAGAAACCCTAGAGAAGATCTATAGAGTAATCTATCACTTCAACACAATGACGTTTGATTGGGGCGGGACTATTTGTTCAACCAATGGAAGAGACAGAGAATTAAAAAAATATATAAAATATAAATATTTCATATTTAATATAAAAGCTATATATATATATATATATATATATA